TGTTCAGGAAGGACTGTGGTTTTCGTGTCAGACTAAGACATCTGTTTATAGACTGGCTTCCAAAGACTTCATTTCACACCATATGTTGATTGAATAGTGTAGGCGGGGGCTTTTTTATGTTAGAGGGATTGTTGTGGTCTGGCCACAACAGGATGCATGTTCTGGCATTGTCTTGTGGTTCACAATTCCCAGCAAAACTTATGTAGTGTGATATTAGGTATATTGGATATCATGCTGGTTCTTTCTGGGGAGGGAACTTCCTTCAGGTCTCATCAAGAGCCAAAATATTAACGTAGGCTTTTATCGCTGGGAAAAACCTTCTTACTGCAGGAAAACCAGCCTCTTCTGAAAATAGCCATGCAGCTGTGCAATGTAGAAAATGTGACTTCTAGGCACTTAAGGGAACATTTTTAGTTAGCTCTAAAGTAAAAGAAATGGGTTTCACATTAAGCGAAGCAGCACAGTTAGATTTCCAAAGGGGTCTCCTGTTTGTATGTAAGAATTAAGTCTTCATTTTTGCTTCTCTTTGCTCTGAAAATAGGCTTTTCTTGTTGGTGTTTAAATTTGCCAGTAAGTCTGTGTTGCTAAAATACGAAATGGCAATATATGCTGAACCTGATGACTTCCACCTCTGCTCAGTTACATTATTCATTTAATGGTAAACTTGGTTGCTGACTTGCAGAAAATTGTCTGCTTAGGAGCATCCCACATGAGGCCCTCACTGTATTTCAGCCTAGCAAACTTTATGGGCTGCTTATTAAAAAGGACTAGTGTATGGCCATGTGTTCTAATTGCCTGTATAAGTAGGGGCATTGCCAGCAGATCAAGGGACGTGATCATTCCCCTCTATTTGGCATTGGTGAGGTCTCATCTGGAGTACTGTGTCCAGTTGTGGGGCCCACACTACAAGAAGGATGTGGTAAAATTGGAAAGAGTCCAGCGGAGGGCAACAAAAATGATTAGGGGGCTGGAACACATGACTAATGAGGAGAGGCTGAGAGAACTGGGATTGTTTAGTCTGCAGAAGAGAAGAATGAGGGGGGATTTGATAGCTGCCTTCAACTACCTGAAAGGGGGTTCCAAAGAAGATGGATCTAGACTGTTCTCAGTGGTATCAGATGACAGAACAAGGAGTAATGGTCTCAAGTTGCAGTGCGGGAGGCTGGATATTAGGAAAAACTTTTTCACTAGGAGGGTGGTGAAGCACTGGAATGGGTTACCTAGGGAGATGGTGGAATCTCCTTCCTTAGAGGTTTTTAAGGTCAGGCTTGACAAAGCCCTGGCTGGGATGATTTAGTTAGGGGTTGGTCCTGCTTTGAGCAGGGGGCTGGACTAGATGACCTTCTGAGGTCTCTTCCAACTCTGATATTCTATGATTCTATGCCTGACCTCAGAGTATTGATCTTCTGCAGTTGTGTCATTAGTAGCTGACCAGCAAATGTTTTGCTTATGGAAACAAAATGGCATGACTTTATTAAAGATCATATCATTAACTGCATTGAATGTTATTCTGGAGTGGCAGTTGAATGCTAATGGCTTTCTGTGAATGAGGTATTTGTATAATAAAATTCCAGGATTGTCGCTCTGTCTGTGTGTCACTTTGAAGCTTGGAAAGTCTGAGTCAGTGTGAGGTGATGGAAACAGGTATAAGCATGGCTTAGAGTTTTTTTTGTTAAAAATATCACTAGGTTCAGTCATCACTGGGATTTGCTGTCTGGTACTCTCCAGTTTTTAAGTTCCCAGCCATTGCTGGCTTTTTTAGACATGTGGCTTTGTCATTGACACCCATGCGATAACATGGGCTTTCAGGTACTAGTACATTTTGTAATGGCTAGTAAATTCACAAGTCTCTCATCCTTGCTCGTATAGATTCCTTTCACAACAGTAATAGGTTTGTTAATTTTATTTGTTAATAGTCTGTTAATTTTGTTGCAATTAACATGACATGAAATCACACTTTATTCAGCCATCTACTTATCATCCCTTTCCAAGGTGTCTTGTAACTGTCCAGAAACATGTTGTATGCAGTGTTGTTGTAGCTGTGTGGGTCCCAGGATATTAGAGAGACAAGGTGGATCACGTAATATCTTTTAATGGACCAACTTCTGTTAGCCAGAGAGACGAGCTTTCCGCCTTGTATGTAAGCTTATGTGTTGAATACACTTGAGACGCTGAGGGGCTCCTACGGTCAATTGGCAAAGGGTTCATTGTAATGTAACAGCAACTCCTATCAGACCTGAAAACTCACAACACCTAAAGCATTACTGTCATGGCAGTTATCTATAAAGAATGGTGTGTAAGGTATCATATGAAAACAATGATATTAATGACCAATTTATTAAAAGTGAAATGTATGTATTAACACTATAGGAGAAATTATGGATACTTCCTGATATTATGCTTGAAGCTAAGTCTGTAACCAAAGAAAAAAACGTGTTTTCTTCCAGACAGGAGGGGAAGATAGTTATCTCTCCCGTCTCTGATGTAAATTAAGCAGGTTTAGCCCAAGACAATGGGGATTATATTTGCATACTGAGTCAATAGGAAAAGCAAATTAACTGAAGATCAACATAGACAGCATGACAGCATGGGGTCTGCACCCCCAAAGAACAAACAGCGGGGGGGAGAGACTTTTTCAGGAGGTATGCTTCGAAGGATACATTTCAAAGGTGAACTGGCCTATAAGAAGAGTGGAAAAAGACATGATGTTTATCCATTTACTGAGGAAACCTCTTGTAGGGTGTAGGTGACTTGAAAATCTGGCTCCTGGTATAACTGAATACTAGCAAGCTCTCCAGGAAAAGTTTTAGGTGAGAGACTGTTTTAGATAAGATTAACTTGCTAAAGTTAAGTTGTCTTCTTGTAGAAGCATGTTATATTTTTTGTTTTATTTGTAACCACATCTGTTTCTATATTAGCTTTGCTTAATATCACTTAATTCTCTGTTCTTTGTCAATAAACGTATTCTTGGTTTTACTTGTAAGTTCTTCTCAGTGTTGTAATACTAAAGGGTGAATTCTCAGGTGAGCTACTTGGTAATTTCTGTGAGCATCCAGTGACGGGCTGGATATTACAGAGAAATGCTTTTTCAGGAGGTTTGGGGACTAGGGTGCATAAAGTGTTACCTGCTAGACAGAGTAAAAGTTGGCAGAGCTCTGGAGGAGATTGTTTGGTTGGCTAACAGGCAGGGAGGTGTCACCTAGTTTAGTTCCAACAAGTCTCTTTTGCTCAGACAGTGGGGTAACAAGATCACCCATAGTTCTGGGCTCCCTGAGAAACTGTACGATACCAGTGACGCAGCCTGGTCTTGACTGTTTTGTCTCTCCATTATGTGTATATTTGATAATATGAACTGTGGTTTAAGGGCTTAAATACACCCTAGATCTCATTCTCAGATCAAATCCTGCTCCCTTTTTAAACCTTTGTTTAATTAACTGTTGGTTATTGCTTGGATACAAGCAATCAATGGACCATAATTAAGTCACCTGACTGTTATAACTTTCAGGGTCTGATCCAAAGTTCATGGAAACAATGAAAGGTTTTCCACTGTCTTCCATGAGATTTGAATCAGGCCCTTTAAAGAACACACGTTACATTTCATATAGTAGCCGAAGTCGTTCTCTGACACTGGTCAGCCCTTAAAGGAGGAGAGGAAATTCTCTGCCCACATTGGTCTGTCTATGGAAACAGCAGTTAGCTATAGCTACGATTACAGATGATGTTTACTCTGAATTGCTCTTGATAATTAAGGTTACAGCACAAAAAGATTTTAAAAATACCCCAAGAAACAACTTTCTCATAAAATCTATTGAGTGGGTTTATGTTTTCAGTGGAATATAAGGAGATCTGGACTTCGCTTCTGCTCAGAACTGTAGCTGGTGAAATTTGGAAGATGAAGAGGGAGTAGGCAGCTAGGCTGGAAAAGAAATTGAAATAGCCTATCTAGACAAGACAGTTTCATGGCATGAATCAAAATTTTGGCAGTGGAACTGAAGAGAAAAGAGCAGATTTTAGAACTGTTACAGAGGAAGAAGGAACAAGTTTTGTAAAAGCCTGGATGTGAGGAGAGAAGGAAAACAAGGGAGTCAAGGTTTGGAGCTTGAGAGATGGGGAGGATGGAAAAGTTGTTAGTAGTGATGGAGAAAGTCAGGTGAGCAGCAAATGTGTATATTTAAAATAAACACATGCTCTCTACTCAGTGTGTAGGTTGGGAAAAGCCTGAAATAATGAAGTCTCACATGTTGTAAATGTTCTGCTATCCTCCACTGCGATTTCACATGCATGCTGCCTACCAAATTCCTTTCCTGCTTCCTCTCCCCTTTTTTAAATGCTTTATGCTCTGGCTTCTGTTCGTGATTTCATGGATTTAAACTTGTTTACCATGTTCTCAGTACTTCCCATTACTTCCTTTTTGTCCTTAGCCAGCCCACACACTGTTGCCCACTGCTTCAAAGCCTCAAGGTTCACAGCCTCAGTTCCATTTCCAGTTGGAGGCTGCATGGTGACATGTAGGCTTCCTATACTGAGCTGTGGAAGGGGTTGCTCTACATACGCAGAGCTGAGTAGTGGAGCGACAATGCGAGTGTGGGACATCCACTTCCACACAGACTGAAAAATCATAACATTGATTTTGTTTTTATTCACAATAATTTGGGGGAAAGCTCTTTCTCAAACTGTCTGCCATATAGTTTGTGTTTATTTGACATTGGCTCTTGATTGAGGGACAGTTGGTTTTGCTTTTATAGATGATTCTGGTTATTTGGGAGTCTGGTATAATGGATTGAGAATGGGACTGAGCTCCCTTGGCCCTGCTACCGACTCCCTCTGTGGCCTGGGGACTTAACCTTCCTGTGCCTCAGGTTTACAGTTGATAATAGGGACATGCTTCACAGGGGTACTGGGCGGGTTAATGAATTGTTCACTAGCAAATTTAGGGATAGAAATGGTGACACCTCCGTACCACTGTCAGGTAACTTTGTGCTGCCTGTGTTGTTTAACAGGCTGTGAAGTCAGCAGTACAGACCATCACTGTGGGAGGAGTGAGTACATCTCAATTTAAGACCATAATTCCCTTGGCAACGGCCCCCAATGTTCAGCAGATTCAGGTACCTGGAAGCAAATTCCATTATGTCAGACTTGTTACGGCCACAACAGCCAACAGTTCAACCCAGTCAGCCAGTCAGAATCCTAGTACCAACACACAGCCTCTTCAGCAAGGTCAGTGGTGTCCATTCATACCCTATTTTATTTGTCTAATTTAGGTTTATTAAGCACTAACAAATATAACCCCCCCCACCCACACACACACACAAAGGGTAAATAAACTGTCAAATGATATAAATCTGTGGCCCTGGCCAGCTGTGCTAGTTTTGTACCAGGCCCCTGGCTTTGAAAGGCTCTGTATCCCATTACCAACTCCAGGATGCCTTTGGAAATGCTCTGATATTGAACTCCTCATTCCCTAGAGACTGGCTCCTGGGGTGCCTGATACGCTGTTGTTCCCAAGGAAGAATGTCAGCCACTCATCTGCTTGTTGGGTGATTGTTGCAAGTCTGATACCCTGTCCCTGCCTCACTGTGCCCAAAAGTGAAATCTGGGCAGTGCCATACATACCTCACAGGGATGTTGTGAGGATTAATTAATGTTTGCCCAGCCTGATGAGATCCTTTGATAGACAGTGATTTAGAACTGCAAAGTACCCCTTGTTTTTACCATGCATTTTCTGGTATGGACAGTAGCAACCAGAAGATTTCATGCCTGTTCTCCCCTTTGCATATTTACATATCACTCCCATTAATGTCAAGAGGAGCTCTGCACATAGACTGATGAGAAGTGTTGGTCTTAAATGTATGCAGTTTGCTGGGTGGCAGTACTGAATATTTAGTAAATATGTTATGTTGGCATAAATTAAAGGGCGAGGGGAATGAGTTGGTGAGCAAAATTAGGGGAGAAAAGGCTGCCTAGAGAGTCTTGTTTAAGGGGGAAATGTAAGATCCAATTTGACCCTAAATTTAAGTTTTGTGAAAACAAACTTCGACCAAACTTTAAGACAATTGTTTTGAACAGTTGCCATATATTTATTTTGAATTGGTCCTTTGGAACTGTTCCCATGTATTGTATAAATTCCAATAGAAAATAAAATCCTGTAATGTTTTAGTGCAGACATTGCCGCATAGTGCTAATACTATGGTAAACTGAAAGTGAAATAGATTAGAGTGAAACTGTTAGGTTTTGCATTTCTTTCTTTCCACTTGGACAACCAGCATAAATAGTGAAGAGCTAATCCAGTTTTAAAAATCTTTTGTTCCTTACAGTAACACTGGTTTTAAAAAAATGTTAAGTTTTTTTGATCTACCAGTATTCTCCCAGGGCCTGATCCTGCAAACACACACTTGTCTTTATGCACTGAGTAACCATCATTCATTGGTGCTTCTCATGTGTGTCAGTGCTTGACTGGGGCCTAAGTGAGAGAGATCTAGAGAATCAGCTGGGAATTGCTTGCAGTACTATGTTTCCTGCAAATAACAGGTTTAGCTCTGTTTTCAAAGAGCTACTGGGGAAAAACTGTAATAAAATAATCACTTTATAAATTAAGTCCACTCTCAGTGCACAAGTTAAAATGTAAAAACAAATAGAACAACAGTAAATAAACTAAAATAAACAAGATAGCACCCAAATAAAATGTTACAAGCATAACCAAAATACATTTTAAAAAGGCAATAAACCCCACCATCTTACACACACAAGTAACTGTTTATTCTATGTATGTGAAAGTGATAAATTGCTTCAGGATTAAATTCTAGCGACTCTTTATAAATGTGCACATGTAGTGTGACATGGGATATTGTTTCTTTTAACCAGGTAAGCCAGTGGTGGTGAATGCAACTCCAGTGCGGATGTCTGTCCCAATAGTACCAGCTCAGACTGTCAAACAGGTGAGTTCAACATGAAATCCATATTATAGTCTCATTTCATCTGGCAAACAGATGTGAACATTCTGACTCTGGAGGTAAAATATGATGATTTACATTGTTCTGCACAGATTCTTGTCTTCAGAAGGACTTTTTAGAAAAATGTACAGTGTAGTTTTCTGCAGCGGATAAAAAACGATATGTTGACAATGTCATAAAGATTTCTTCTCTTTCCAGGTGGTGCCCAAACCAATCAACCCAACTTCACAGATAGTTACTACTAGTCAGCCACAACAGAGACTTATTATGCCAGCTACTCCACTGCCACAGATACAGCCAAACCTCACTAACCTCCCACCGGGCACTGTGCTGGCGCCAGCACCTGGCACAGGAAACGTAGGCTATGCAGTTCTTCCAGCTCAATACGTCACTCAGGTATGATGTTAGCACAGGGCAAAATGATGAACTTACAGAAATAATTGTAGAAGGCATCCTACATTCGTGTTAATGTTTTTGATCCCTTCCTTCAGTTTAGGGCTTTGGCTTGTCCTTTGCCAAAATGTGGACAAGAATCAGAATGAAAAGAAATGGGAATTAAATCCACGATTTAAGATTGAAAAGGGATGTACAGGGATTTTTGTTGGCATGCTGCGTATAATTGGCAGAGACCTTGTTGTACAGTTCTTCCTTTAGTGGCCTGCCTTATGTAGGTAAAAAAGATCTGGAACAACACAGTATTAGATGAATGGCAGGAGGGAAATGACACAACAAGATCTTTGTCCTTGGTACAAAGAAGCAGTGGAAGAAAGACAATAGGGCAGATTTTCTGAAGTGGCCAGCACTCACAGTTGGGGCCAGATTTTTTAAAAGAGCTCTTCCTATTTTTTGGCATCTGAATGAAGTGGCCAGATTTTCAGAAGTGCTCAGCACCCAAATAGCTCATATTGTTCTCAGAGGGAACTGCTGGCAGCCGAGCACTTGGGAAAATGTGGCCACTTCATCTAGATGCCTAAAAGGGAGCTGTTAAAGGCTGAGCTCTCTTGAAAATCTGGCTCAGTGTAGAAAAAGAAATGTACACTGAGAAAGCAATGAGTAAAAAAATACAAAGCTGAGGCACTTGCAGGGGATTCTGATGAGCGATGCGTGAGGAATGCTCCTGTAGTGTGTGCTTCCTCGGAGAAGGTCCTGGGTGCCTAGGTCTTGCTACTCATATTTCTTGCACCTAACTCATCGTGGCATGAAAAAAGAAGGTATGCAGGTAAACACTTAACAGTACCACAGTCAAAGGGAGTGCAAATCAGCCCTGGTTTCTTAGTTTTGTTAAAGTTGATCCTGAATGGATTATGACCTTGCAGGTTACTTCAGTGACTCGTGGGACTTTGCTCTGATTCATCCCTTGTAGCACAGGTGCAGTGATCAGGCACCAAGATCTACTCTGTAAAAAAAAGGAGCACTTGTGGCACCTTAGAGACTAACAAATTTATTAGAGCATAAAGCTTATGCTCTAAGCTTATGTTAGTCTCTAAGGTGCCACAAGTGCTTATGTTCTTTTTGCGGATACAGACTAGCATGGCTGCTACTCTGAAATCTGTAAAGAAAGAAAAGGGATCTGATTAAAGGGGTGAGAACTGTTTGTAACTCCACGTTTTCACCTGGTGGGTGCAGGCATTCCTGTAGATAGCTGATATACAAGCTATTGGTAAAGCATTTTAGCGTCCGTCTGACTGAAAGTTATTACGTAATGTAAGTAGATTAAAAATAATGCAGTCCAAAGGTTCTAAGATAAAATGGACAAAAACATAATGTAAAATAGGACATTTCTGCTGAATACAGAGTAACCCTTAGACTGCTTACTCTTGTGAGTTTGTGAAACTTTCAAACCATTCATAAATATGGATTAGGAGAGTACATGATGCATACAGCAGTTTCAGAAATGCTTACTAAAAACTGTGTACTACAAAGCCTGTTGTATACAATTGTAAAAGCTACAGAACATACATTTATACTTGGTGTTTTGTTAGCTACAGCAGTCATCATACGTATCTATAGCAAGCAACACTGGTTTTACTGGGACATCTAATATCCAGACCCAAGCAAGGCTTCCGTTCAATGGGTGAGTATTTTGAAAACACTTTTAAAAGCTTGCCACAACATCTCCCCCAAAGATGGTGAGGTGATGTATTTAATTGGGACAGATTATCCTTGTTTGAAGAGTTTTTTAGGAAAACTTAGCACGGTGGGGTGGGGAGGCTGCGACCTGTGCTGTTCTTGTTCTGTGGCTAAATAAAGAACATCTGTTTCTCTGGCTGTCAATCCAACGCCTTTTACCATCACTAATCTCAGTCAAAGTCAAATCTTAGGGTTTTTTTCCCAAACCCATAGTAGGAGTTTGAACAGAGAGCTTGGCCCATGGTTATTTATTATATGTATTGGCAGTAGCACATAGGAGCCCTGGTCATGGACTTGAAGTTGATTGGAGCAGCTGGGTGCTTAGCACTTGTGCAAACCCAGCCATTTATGTAGATGCCTGAATATGATTTGGGAACCGAACTTCAGCTCTTCCCCTCCCCCCCCCCTTTTTTTTTTAAATCTTGGCTTAGTTCCAAGGTAACACATTGAAAGTGGAAACTTTTCAAATTGATATGCCTCCCCCTCCTCCCACGCATGCTTAGAAATTCTACCCCATTCTGCTGAACCTGCCTTTTTCTGGAAGTCTTACATTTAAAGGTGTTTGCTGTGATTTAAATAATACAAAACAAACAAATAAAATTGTCTGAACGAATCCTGAACCCCTGCCTGACCACCCCCCACCCCTTCAATAAATACTTTGTTTTCAGCTTCTGGGGGTATGTCAGGATCAAAGTGTGACGTTGGGCAGTCTATACGGTTTTATAAAAATATGCTAATGAGTGAATATAATGTAACTGGAATATGCTTCATGTAAAAGGTCTCTTGTAAGGTATCATTACAAAGCTTATAATCTACTGAGTGTGGTCATCCTATTTGTATAAATGTACCACTCTTGTATCTGGGACTAGAAATATGAAATATAATGCTGAGGGACTATTGTAATTAGGCAAAGTGTGGGCCATTAATGGTGGTTTGGAATCTTAATGGCTCCCATCAACCAGGATAATTGACTGGGGCTCTGTTTGCAGGGAGGCCTTCTTGTGAGTCAGGCTGGGAGGAATGAAGGCTTGGGGTCTTACAGTGACATGTGATCATGTCACATGAACTGGAATCCATCTTTAACCTGGTGCTTTTCCAGTGGGGGGGGGAACCCAGAGAGAGACAAAGGATTCCTGCCTTATGCAAAAGATATATAAAAGGGTGGAACAGAACAAAGGCCGTGAGCCATCATGAAGAATCCCCTAGCTACCACCTGAGCTGGAACAAGAGCTGTACCAGGGGAAAGAATTGTACCCAGGTCTGGAAGGTGTCCAGTCTGAGGAAAAAACTTACTGAAGCATCTCTGAGGGTGAGATTATCAGCATTCAGTTTGATTAGACATAGATTTGCACATTTTACTTTATTTTGCTTACTGTCTGTTACTACTTGGAACCACTTAAATCCTACTTTCTGTATTTAATAAAATCACTTTTTACTTATTAATTAACTCAGAGTATGTTTTAATACCTGGGGGAGCAAACAACTGTGCATATCTCTCTATCAGTGTTATAGAGGGCGAACAATTTATGAGTTTACCCTGCATAAGCTTTATACAGGGTAAAACGGATTTATTTGGGTTTAGACCCCATTGGGAGTCGGGCATCTGAGTGCTAAAGACAAGCACACTTCTGTGAGCTGTTTTCAGGTAAACCTGCAGCTTTGGGGCAAGTAATTCAGACCCTCGGTCTTTGTTGGAGCAGACGGGAGTGTCTGGCTCAGCAAGACAGGGTGCTGGAGTCCTGAGCTGGCAGGGAAAACAGGAGCGGAGGTAGTCTTGGCACATCAGATGGCAGCTCCCAGGGGGTTTCTGTGATCCAACCCGTCACACAAAGGGTCACCACATATGGTCAGAATATAGCTGGCCAGATATGACCATTGAAAAATCCTAGCTTTCAGTGGTTGTTAAGGCTGATCTCTGACACAGAATGCTCTTTATGTTAAACTAAATAGCAGGGTTCATATGCTGCTTTGCTTGCCCCTTGCTCAGGTCTCTGTCTGCTTGCCTAGGACAGTCACTTTGTCATTTCATTATCATTTTTAATTCACACATAACTTGGATGAAGGGAGAGGCATAGTCTGAATTTATTTCTTCTCTATGGTACTGGATTCGGTTAGATTCATAACAACATCACAAAACCTGCTCCAGGTGTAGATACAGTCACCATGGAGAGTGGTCTTCACTCAGGGGAATGGCTGCAGCACGCTCAGTTGCACTTTCCTCTCATGTGGTCCACTCCTAGCCTTGTCTCCTTTCTTTCTCTTCTTTAAGCATAGCGTGCAGCCAGGGTCATCTAACTCTTCTTTGATTTTTTTACCTACTAATTATATTTTGTAATCCGTGACATAGACCTTTGAAAGCTCACGTTGTAGGAGAAAAATCTAGTTTGGTTTATGGGATTTCAGTGGATCAACATTCTGAACTTAAAAAAGAGAGAAGCCAATAATAAAATGGTTCTTTTCCAGAATTATGCCATCCGAACCTGCAAACCGCCCCAGGAAGCCATGCAATTGTACAAAATCGCTGTGTTTGAAATTGTAAGTGTATTTGGTTTTAAGTATTTTCTCTTTAACAAATATTTTAGTATATTGCCAAAATTAAATAGAAATATTAAAGTAACTCTAAAGTGAGTTCTGTATATAAAAAGGATTCCAATGTAAGGCTCTCAATCCATCCACAAATCATCCTGCTATAAGTGCATATGATACTTAATGAGACACTTTAGGCTGTGTCTACCCTAGCAATGTTCTAAGTTTCTGAATCTTGTGGTTTCACTGGTGATAGTATCATGGGAATGGTGGGGTAGATTGCCCATTGGCATTTAAACTGGATGACAGAGGTACCAGTGGTCACCTGAACCCTGTCTGCATGATGGCTCCTACTGTTGCTACCACCACTGGAGTTGCATCCGTGTTTCCATCCGTGGGAGATTAAGTACAATAGTCTGGTAGACAAAGCCTTAAAATGTCTTACCAATGGAACTGTGAGGTTACTTACGTCCTGTGAGATGTCTCAGGGTCAGAAGGGACCATTGTGATCATCTAGTCTGATCTCCTGTATATTGCAGGCCACAGAATCTCACCCAACCACTCCTGTAATAGACTCCTAACCTCTGGCTGATTTACTGAAGTCCTCAAACCATGGTTCAAAGACTTCAAGTTGCAGAGAATTCACCATTTACACTAGCTTAAACCTGCAAGTGACCCATGCTTCATGCCGCAAAGAAAGGTGAAAACCCCCAGGGCCTCTGCCAATTGGACCTGGGGGGAAATTCCTTTCTGACCCCAAATATGGCGATCAGTTAGACCCTGAGCATGTGGGCAAGGCCCACCAGCCAGACACCTGGGAAAGAATTCTCTGTGGTAACTCAGAGAATTCTCTGTGGTAACTCGGAGCCCTCCCCGTCTAGTGTCCCATCTCCTGCCATTCCACTCCAGTGCCATCAGTATCTGGTGTGATTATGTGAGGTCGTTCAGTTGGGATGATGCTACACCTTTCCACATAGTACAACGTCAGGAGGAGGTAATGAAATTATTTTGTGGCTCCCTAATTCTTGGATGACGAAGAAGGCATTCAGAGTGGTTGTGCTACTGTTAGAGAAGCTGATATAACAGCCATCTGAGTCCAAGTTAGGAAATATGTCTGGCACCTGCCAATTTTAGGTTCTTTTTAATGTAATGCATGTCATGTTCATAATGTGGGCGTGCACATACTTTTGAGCTTAGAAATTTTTCATCACACTAGAACAGAACTAATCATGTATGTTTAGTTTTCCTTCAGACATCTCACAGCCTGTACGATTGTTATTTATAGAGAGCCAAATGTGTTCCAGACATGAAATTTCCTCCTGGATATCAGCTTTCTGATTCCCAAATGTTCTGTGAAATCTAAAGGGGAGAAAAGATGCTGATGCTGATATACTTTGCATTTATATAACACTGTACAGAAATTAACTCAGGCCTTGTCCACCGCGTGATTTGCTCCAGGTACAGCCATCTGTGCCCAGGGGTGTAATCCACTAATGTAAACTGTCATTTGCTCCAGGAGAACTTTCCCCTGCTTGCATATGGGGTAGTCCTCACAATACACCTGTGAGGCAGGTTAGGCATCTAATTCCCACAGGTTTCAATTTATTTATCAGTGAATTTCAAATACCTTTGAAAATCTGACCCTTACTCTCTCTGTGCCTCAGATCCCCATTTTAAAGAGCGGGGTGTGTGTGGGGGAAATATAGCACCTTCCCTACCTCACAGGGGTGCTGTAAAGTTTGTGAGGTGCTGAGACGTTATGGTAACGTAATTCACAGAAGTACCTAAGATACACAGCTATCCAATCAGCTCCTCCCTTAAGCACCTTTGTGATTTCTTCCTCCCACCACAGTGCGTAGGAAAAATCCCTGATCTAATCCATACAGCCATATTCCTTCAACTCCCTTCTTTAGACTCGCCTCTGCTGCAAAGCCTGCAATACCCTGGCTATTGCTCGTGGCTAGTCAGATGATGAGCTGTGCCTGCCCCTCTTCCTTCCTTTTCCTACTCCCGGACTTTTACCCCCGCCTCCATTCCTGCCATTCCTCACCCTACCCCAATAAAAGAATTAACAAGCACAAAACCAACGAAACTTGCCACTACCAAAGCGGTGCCGATCCTGGGCCACATTACTTGTAGATTATACCCCTGTCACTTACCTTACTTTGGGGTCTTATGCTGTATGCCCTCCGGGCCAGAAATTGTCTCATTCGTGTCTATACAGTACTTGGTCCAATGGGGTCCCAATCCCAAGTGGGGCTTTTAGAAGTTACTATCATAGAAATGTTTCCTGTGGCTACTACCACAGCTAGTGTGATGCCTGCATACCATGTTTGTAAATCCCGTCTGGGTCTCCTATTTCAGGTATTGTGATTGTTTTGCAAATGGTGAATTCTGCAATAACTGCAACTGTACCAATTGTTATAACAACCTGGACCATGAAAATGATAGGCAAAAAGCAATAAAGGTAAGGGTTTTTTTTGTTGTTTCTCTCCTTTAAAGTTCGCAAAACAGAAAAGCATGTCACAATGTATCTATTTCAACATACTCAAGGCTGCTATTGAAACAGGACAGTTTGCTTCTTGTTTTACATCTCTGTAGCGGGGATGAAAGTAGCCACCTTTTCCTGTTGGGTTGGGAGGAGAAAGTGATTTACTTACTCCAGCACAATCTTGGGTTTGTCCTTACTGCACTGGTCCTCTAGATCTTGCTTCCTGCATGAACTGTGACACATCTTTTGGATCTGCATTGATAGGCCTGCCTTGATAGAAACCCTGAAGCCTTCAAGCCCAAAATAGGGAAAGGAAAGGAAGGGGAATCAGACCGACGGCACAGCAAAGGCTGCAACTGCAAACGATCGGGATGTCTCAAAAACTATTGTGAATGCTATGAGGTAAGATGGGTTTCTTGTCTTGAAGAAATACATTGGCTTTTTCTCCTTTCTAAATGTCACTCTTGCCCATTGCACTGTCTGTAATTAAAACTTGTAACTATGTATAATTTCTCCAGTGCATACTAAGTTTATGAGCCAGCAATGGAGAATAAAACAATATTTTAGGACACTCACCCTTTCTTTTGTTCTTTTTAGGCAAAAATCATGTGTTCCTCAATATGTAAATGTATTGGCTGTAAAAACTTTGAAGAAAGCCCAGAACGAAAGACTTTGATGCACTTAGCAGATGCAGCAGAAGTAAGAGTCCAGCAACAGACAGCTGCAAAGACAAAGTTATCCTCACAAATCTCAGACCTGTTAACGAGGCCAACCCCAGCACTGACTAGTGGAGGGGGGAAGTAAGTCAACACATTCCATCCTCTTGACTTGGCTTTAACACTGTTTTAATGATTCAGGTATCTTGCTGCTGTGCTGGGGTGGATTTTAGCAAGTTAAGATTACTTCAGTCTTTGACATTTGTATTCATGCTTTAGGTTTTGGTGGCTAATGTTATTTAATATTTGTATTACCATAGCACTCGAGAGCCGTCAATCAGATTCGGGGCCCTTTTGAGCTACGTGCTATACAAATGCAGATTACTCTCTGTCCCGAGGAATAGTGAAACCTTTCTGGAATATATCAGCCGCCTAAATTTGCAGTTGAGCTAATTGTCTCATCCCCTGAATGCATCTAAGTGCTGTTGGTTGAAAAGATGTATAGTGCATGGCTGCTGCCTAAACTATTAAAATACATCCCGTACAGAGAAGAGAAGTTATATAACAAGTTTGTCAGTCAAGATATACTGGATCATTATGACATTGAAATGAGTGCAAGTAAAATAAAATGTGCAAAAAATGATTACAAGATACTATATACATATATCTGCGGTATAGAAAACCTGTTTTGTGTTACGTTGTAGCATTTGAGAAATACTAATGAAAAACCTGTACCAAACTGTATACAGAGAAGGAGACAGTTAAATTTACATGTGTAAGCTTGAATTTGCCACACTTCCGTGTGTCTAACCACGTAACCTTAACATTCTCTTAATGCAGTTTTTAGCATCAATACAGGTGGACTCCTAATGTTAAATGAGTTAATTCTCAGTTTTCCTACAGCAAAAAATTATATGGAAAATTATGCATTCTCCATCTGTCTTTATGGCATTCTGCAGTCTGTCTCAAAATGTACAGAGATGGAAGCAGCCACAAAACTTTCCGCGTTGCCTCTAAGGAGTGATCTTCCTGCTTAGCTGTAGGGCTTGTTCAGTATTTTCAGTTTGGGGCAGCCTCAGATGTACCCCAGAAACTGTGGAGCAGATTCATCCTGGTCAGATCAGCCCTGATTGAAAACTTTGAATGTGCTCTAACTCTGTTTGAAAGGGCATAATCCTAAAGTTAATGAATTGGATTCATGGACCATGAATTGGATTCATGAATTGGATTCATAGTACAGGGAAAATGGAGAGGTAAGCAAAATTTTCCTTGTTTGACAACCATGTCCAAGTATATATTAGTATTGCTATAGGGACTGTCTAGAGGGCTTCCTTCAGCTTCTGACTTTTCAGTGCTTCAGAGAGAGTTTTGTAGATAGTGCATATTGTGTAGCTTGCTGATGACAACAGTGAAGTTTTTATTTCCATTTCAGATTGCCATTTACCTTTGTAACCAAGGAGGTGGCTGATGCGACTTGTGACTGCCTGCTTGCGCAGGCCGAGCAGGCTGAAAAGATGGGCAAGTCAAAAGCAGCAGCGGAGCGCATGATCCTGGAGGAATTTGGACGTTGTTTGATGAGAGTCATTAACTCAGCAGGAAAGTCCAAAAGTGACCCCTGCGCCATGAACTGCTGACTCTTGCATAGGAGCCATGGTAAATTGGACTGAACATGACACTTAAGGCACAGGGACACTTTGGTTCACAGCAGAGGATTTAATACTATTTTATTGTTAATTTGGTGCTTGTTTTAAATTGACCTGCATAATGTTGAAACAAGAAAATCTTTTATAATTAGGAGTAGATTCTTTTAAATTTTAGCTAAATTCTCTTCTACTTATGACGATGCCTAAAGGTGAATTTTTCTTCCTGTTGTACAGCTTTTAACTTTCTTGGGTTTGGTAAGAATTAGATGTTTTCTTCCTCCCCCTTTCTCTAAGAAAATTGTCCAGAGAGTCTTTATAAATTATTATTATAATATATATTATTTACAGTGTATAGAGTTGCATCACTTTGTTCATATGGAAGAATCAGACACTGGCAGAAAATATTTTTGGCAGTAGACCAAGAAAACAGTATATCTGTGGAGGAATTAATTCTGAAAGGACATGTATAGAAATGAGCATCTTCACAATACTGACAATACCAAATTAGATAAAAGAACATCACTCTACAGCCCTGGAAGGCGACGGATCAGTGTTAAGAACCGATTCAGCAAGGTCCTTAAGCACAAATAATGTTAAGCATGTGGGCCATTGACTTCTTGGGACAGCTTACACGTTTAGCATCGCATATGTTCTTAAAAACCTTGCTGAATCTGGGCCTCAGGGCACAACTTTTAAAATGGAAAGTATTTACATTTTTCTTTAGATGATGACAGAAATTTCATTACCGGCTTGCTGAATAGTCTAAAATGGAAGTTGAAGGACAGATGATGGGCCAAAAATTCAGAAAGAATTAAAAGCAATGCTGTAAAAACAAGTTTCCATCCAACTTTTATCATTAGATAAACATCAAGCAGGGAGATGCTGTTGTGCATCTAGGGCTCAATCCTGCAAGGTCCTGAGCATTCTCACGTCTCGTTGAAGCCAGAGAGCGTTTGCAGTCCTTAGCACCTCATAGGATAGAGCCCTTAAACTGGCAGAAAATGAGATTATTGTTGTGTACATTTACACAGAAACTGAGATTACTGGGTGTGAGGGAACCAACCCTTGTGTTTTCCTGTTAGCACAGTTTTCATGTGAGATGGATTCCAAACTAGCTGCATCCAAGTTAATCAGAGAAGATGTGTGAAGATCAGACTCCCTGTACACCTGTGGACCTTTTTGATATCACTTTTTTAATCTTTGGGACTCATTTGGCTTTTTTTTTTAAAGTGTTATTTAGGATTGCAGTTTGAGCCATGACATGCAAGTACACTGGTACGGATTAAAGATCACCATCAAAACCAGATACACCTGACCTTTTTTTGTGTGGGGAACAGGGAAGGAATCAAATCAGGTCAAATACAGTTGTGCATAGAAGACACTTAAGGATGGGAACTTTTTCTAGTATTTACTACAAACAGTCCCAAATCACATTTTTGGTAGTGTAGCTCTAAATTTAATGAAAGGAAATAACCATGTTTAAATTCACAGGCATTTATTTAGTTAGATATCTTAATCCTCTCTGTAATTATCAGAACAAGACTGATACTTTTATTTTCCAAAAGGGATTTTATATTCTTGCCATGTGTAACTGTGTGTATATATTCTTTAACATATGTTTGTGTATATGTAGCAAATACACATACACACACCTGCGAAAAGGGAATCCACCATTCATTAAAAAGGTTTTTTTTTTAATAATTAGGATCTAGATTTCTAAAATGTCAGTGCGATAACTCTAAATGTAGATAGTTCAGCCATTCATCTTACTTTTTAGTGACTCAATATAGTATGTCCAGTAAGATTTGTATAAATGTAAATTAGTGTAAGTGGATAAAGTAAGACCTAATCAAGTTATTTTTCAAACAGATTGCAATACACCTTCTTTTGTCTAGAACTAAATCCATGTTAATTTTGTATATATTCTGTGTCCTATTCTAAATTGCACCTTTTGTGATGTGTATTTATATACAGTGTGGAGAAAATGTTTGTGAAACTTTGGATTACAGTTGTAGATGATGTATGATGGCATTGCTTGTAAAGATTTTGAAGGTGCAATCAAGTACTCTTAGTTCTACTTGTTTTGAACAAGTTTTCTGAAACATTGAGCTTGTTTCCAAACACCCCCCCTCTCCGGCCCCGCTTAGTATGTAGTAAATCATTTTTGTACTTCCTTAGCCATTTGCAACAAACTGCTGAACAAGATTTACAGTCGAGTTCATCCAGTTATTTTAAACAGATCTGGGGTGGGGTCAAAGGTTCATTTTCTAGTTCTGTTTACACCTGAAAGTAGAAAGATTAAATTTATATTTACTAGACCAATTCAAAAAATACACTTTTCTATATTGTAAAAAGTCGGCTAAATCACAAAGAAAAATAAACATTTATACTATTCTGTAAACATGATTTTTGCACTCTGTTCCTTTAGAGCTGGCAAGAACATTAACGGTTTTATTAAAGTAGCTGATGTATTAATTAGAGGCCAGGTTGTCACCAAAGTTGCATTCACTAAGGCCCCAAATCAGCAAAGCACTTCCTTGTCATTAAGCATGTGATTAAATACCATTGACTTCAATAGGACTGGAGCACATTCTCAAAGCATGTATGTGCTTATATGCTTTTCTGAAAAGAGATGCACTTAAGTATGTGCTTAAGTACTTTGAAATGGGGCCAAAATATATACATGCACAACCAGGTAATTGGGCCCAAAGGGGTATTTTTGTATTTAGTTACCTCTCCTGCATGAGCAAATTCAGGTTCTACCCCTGTGGAGACTGAACAGACATAGTCCTTGATCCAACAAACATATCCATATGGATGGACCCTCATGCCCTGTCAGGATCCCATTGAAGTTAGCGGGACTCCATACAAGAGTCTCTCCATGCAGAATCAAGGGTAAAATGTTCAGAGGCAACTTTGGCCACAGCCTTTGAAAATTTGGCCCTAGGCATTTTATTGGCAGGTTTCTAACTATATCCTGTAAGGGTTAGGGTACTTAACTGCATAAAAACGGTGAGTTTTAAAGACAAAACTGCTTTCTTCTACAAAATAAAACTATTTTTATTTTTGGATTTTTTAAGTTCTCCTGGCTCTTTCCTCTTGAGCTATTTTTTTATTATTATTATTATTTATTTAGTGTGAAATCAGTGCTCATGGAAGTGAAGAATTAATCCTCCTGGCTAGAGCTAACGAGGTACAGTGCTCCAGAGCTGCTGCCCCTCTCTTCCCCCCCACTCAGCCCTACTGATGCATCTCAGTCATGGCCTGCAATAAGTAGTAGTAGTACATGTCTGCTATTCCAGTCCTGAGCAGACAGTCAAACATACGAAATTGTGCAATGAATGCGTTACGGACAGCTGATCATTCCGGATTAGAATGAGGCCACTAAACCTGATTCCAGAACCAGCTCAAGTGCCGTGATGGTGGTCTGGGAGAGACTGCCGTGTGCTAGATGCTTTACAAACAAACGAAGATTACAGTCTACGACAAAGGGCAGGGAAAAGAGGCAGCATATAAATAAATTGCCCTTTCAGAATATTTATTAAATAACTAGCTGCTTTTGCTCCCTCTTTCTTGCCATTTCCCATTTAAGGCTCTGACTTTTATAGCCTTCTTCCAAAAGGCATGATTATATGTCTGGCTGTTCTCTCTCATGTCTGCTGATATATGGTCTATATACGAGTCTTTGGCCTCCCACTTGGTCATCTTCTATCCATGAGGATTGCAAGGGCCATTCTAACTCTCACGTCTCCATTGGACATCCATATCAACTTAGCCTAGCCTCCCGCAATTGTCTTCAATTGAGGCCATCTGCATTAGGCCCCTCACAACCTCATTTCATTTCCTATCATGGAGTGTCCAACCATTTGGCCATCTCAACATTTTCATTTCCGTAGGAGAGAGCATACTGATCTATTTTCTTGTGGTTGGCCAAGTCTCTGTCCTGCACATTAGGATGGGTCGAATTAGTTTTGTACACCTTTTAACTTTATTGGCATCTTTTTATCACAGAGAATTGGCCTCAGCTCCTGCCATTTGTGCCAAAGAACTTTGGTATGATGCTGGGCATCATTCAGGAGGGCACCATTGTCAGCAACCATTAATCCTAGGTATTTAAATTCTTGCACATGTCTAAGCTCTCTGCCTATAGTATCCTTTATAGTGGGTCCACCTCTCTTAGTTGTCATAGCCTCAGTCTTACTCTCGAAGTCCCACCTGCTCAAATCTCTGTTGCACTGTTCAAAGTTGGTTTGCAGGGTCTCACGATCTTCCACACACAGCATTAAACATCAGCATACAGCATATTCCAAGGTGGGTCCCTTCATATAGTCTCACTTGTCACATCCAAGACAACCACAAATGGGGGGAGGGATCGCTCAGTGGTTTGAGCATTGGCTTGCTAAACCCAGGGTTGTGAGTTCAATCCTTGAGGGGGCCACTGAGGGGGCCACTTAGGGGTCTGGGGCAAAAATCAGTACTTGGTCCTGCTAGTGAAGGCAGGGGGCTGGACTCAATGACTTTTCAGGGTCCCCTCCAGTTCTGTGAGATAGGTATATCTCCATATATTTATTTATTTATTTAAAAGGCTCAAGGCTAAACCAAGGGTGTCAGGCTTCGACAGCCAACATGTAAAGCTCGTCCAGTAGATATGCTTGTGTAAATTGATGTGCCTGTCAAATGTACCTCAGAGGGGTAGGGCATTCCCCACAAGTGATGTACAACAGCCTGGCCTGACTGTTGTAATGGGGCAAGGACCGCTAAAGTTAAAGAAGCAAGTGAGTAAGTGGAGTAAGCTGAGATATCCAAGCTGGAATGTGAATACCCAGCGAAGAGTAAATGTGGCATATGTTCAAAAAGTTAACTGGAAAGTTAAAGCTAAGATGCTAGTGGAAGGTTACAAAATCTACCATTCAGGGAGTTCAACCTCCTGAAATGGTGTTGAAGTTATTCTGGAGGAAACCATGCAAAGGTATCTGACAAGTTACCAGAAGGTCGGAACAACTGATGAGTGTTCAACTGTGTTGGGAAGAGGAAATTATCCATATAGTAAGTGGGTATGCACCAATTAGGAGAGGCTCAAAAGGTAAAAGGATTTTTTTGAGGAGTTGCTGTGCCTTATTGGAAACATGAGAAATGATAATCAGAGCAGATCTAAATGCACGTGTTGGAACTGTGAAGACTAGATATGAAACCATCCATGACATTGGAACCAGAAATTCCGAGGGAGAAATAGCCCTCCACCTTGTCTGGCATTGGATGTGGTGATTGCAAACACACACTTTCAGAAGAGGGCTTGCCACCTCATAACTTATGCCAGTGGAGGACACAAATCCCAAATTGATTTCTGCTTAATGAGAAGAAGCAATAGATCACAAATAATCAATGGTAAGGTAACACCTGGCAAGTGCATTGTGAACCAGCACAGACTTCTTATGGACTTCAGAATGCACAGACCTCAGAAACGTCTGAACCCCCAGCATTGGAAAGGCCTCAATGGTGGAAACTTAGAGAGGGGAATGAAAAAAAATCTTTAAACCAGACTATTTTGAATGAGTGATGAATGAGGAGAACCCAGCGGAGGACCATGTAAGATGAACTGAGGCATGATAGGAGTATGAGGTTGTAGAGTCATTTAGGAAAATGAAAAAGGAGAAGCACCTGAGCCAGAAGAGGTACGAGTGGATGCACTGGGAAGGGAAGGCATCAAATATTTTACAATTCTGTTCAGTGATATTCTTAAGAAAGAGAAAATGCCTGATGAATGATGTGAAAGCTTTGTGATGCCCAGTTTTAAACATAAAGGAGATATTACACTGTGTGCTAATTATCACTCAAACTGATGTCGCATGCTATGAAAGTATGAGAGAAGATTATTGAAATATGTCTGCATGGAAGAGTTGAAATTTGGGTGGTTTTGTTACTTCAAGTCTAGAAAAAAGCACTGAGCCATTTCAATTCTGTTCTGCCACTGCTTTAATAAAGAGAGCTCTCTAGGTATTAAATACAGTGCTCCACTCAAACACTTCATTAGAAGGGCAAAAATTTGTCACAAAAGACTTAACAATGTCCTTGTCATACATAGGAATAATCATTGTCTAGCAGAGTTGCACCCTGCCTTGAAAAATGGGCTGAATGATTCTATGTGCTCCTGAATGTAGCATGGAAGTAACCTGATAGTAGATGAGGTGCTTTGGCAAACAGATTAATCCTGTTAACATGGTACATACCATTACCCTGCTTTGCAAACTAAGTGACTACAGATGTTAAATGGGGCATTACTGTTTCATATAAAGCATCATATGCAAGGGCAGCTTCACTGCAACAAACTAACTGAATGAAGAGTCACGGAAGTCCATGCAACCACTCTGCCTCTTGGCATGAAATCAGCCAATGACTGGTGTTCTTCACTTTGTAAAAACGGCTGTAGAATAAATAGGCTGCGTTGTGACCTGTATTTTTGGATAAATCAGTCTGATGCAATAGTAGTGGGGAGACAGTGTCCTGTTGCATGGCTCATTTAATAGGGCCATATGACCACCAGAGTTCAACAAGTAGTTCAACACAATGGTGCTCTGTCTATGCCACTCAGCAGAAACAGCAACAGAACCACATGCCCTTCCAGCAAAGAAAGCTAAAAGGGCCTTTTGGAGCATCATCTGGTGTACTTCAAGCAGGGCCGGCTCCAGCATTTCTGCCGCCCCAAGCAAAAAAAATTGGGAAAAAAAAAATAAAGCCGCGATCGGCGGCGGCAGTTCAGCGGCAGGTCCTTCGCTCCTAGAGGGAGTGAGGGACCTGCCACCCCCGAATTGCCGCAGGTGCCGCCCCTCTCCCTTGGCCGCCCCAAGCAGCTGCTTGTTAAGCTGGTGCCTGGAGCCGGCCCTGACTTCAAGGTACCTGCAGCATTTTAAGTGCATCAGCACTGCCATCTAGCATTGAGTCATGGAAAGGCAAGAAAATTCACTGTCTCAAAAGTTGTGTATCCTCAGCAGTGTAAATATTTGTAAATTTCCATAGCACTGGAGACTGTCCTCAACTTAGCTTTTAAACTGCACAGGATATTTCTTTGTTCTAAGGTAGAAGAATGTACCATTATAACTGCTTTATACACAATAATTTTTAGGCTACAACTCTCCCATTTATACATAACAGTTGGTAAGAACACAAGAATGGCCATAGTTCCAGCTAGCCCAGTATCCTGTCTTCTGACAGTGGTCGGTGCCAGATGTTTCAGAGGGAATGAACAGAACAGGGCAGTTTATGGAGTGCTCCACACCCTGACTTCCCAGTCCTAGTGCCTAGCAGTCAGAGGTTTAGGGGCACCCAGAGCATGGGGTTGCATCCCTGCTCATCTTGGCTAATAGCCATTGATGGACCTATCCTTCATGAATTTACCCAATTCTTCTTTGAACCCAGTTATGCTTTTGGCCTTTGAACCTCCTCTGGCAATGAGGTTCACAGACTGACTGTGCGTTGTGTGAAGAAGTACTTCCTTTTGGTTTTTTTAAACCTGCTGCCTATTCATTTAATTAGTCATCCCCTGGTTCATGTATTATGTAAAGGGATAAATAACACTTCCTTATTCACGTTCACCACACCATTCATGATTGTATAGACCTCTATCATATCCCCCTTCAGTCATCTCTTTTCCAAGCTGACAAGTCCCAGTCTTTTTAATCTTTTTTCATATGGAAGCTGTTCCATACTCCTAATCATTTTTGTTGCCCTTTTCTGTACTTTTCCTAATTCTAATGTCTTTTTTTTGAGATGGGGTGACCAGAACAAGTATTTAAGGTGTGGGCATACCATGGATTTATATAGTGGCATTATGATATTTTCTGTCCTATTATCTATCCCTTTCCTAATGGTTCTGATATTTTACAATCAGCTACAATAAAGCAAGGAGTAATTGAATTGGAAAACGCATTGCTATACCTCAAGGTCAACTTATTGTTTTCAATAACATTCATAAAGTCACAGCTACATAACTTTGGACACCTTCCTTTAGTGTTCTGGAAAACAAAACTTTAATTCAGGCCTTACTTAATAATAATATTTGGTCTGCAATCACACTGC